GTTTAATCATTTAATAGAAGCAATTGAAAAACCAGCTGGAAGTTCCTGAAATCACACCGCGCGTCGGCCGTGTAGGCGCGTTTTGCGCTTCGCGCTTGGGAAATCTCACTGGATTGTTATATCTCAGTAGGGTATGTATCGTATTGCACCGCATCTTACCTTTTTAGAGGAACGGCTGGCCAGTGAGATCCCTGCAGGGTTGGGCGCCGCAAACCCCGCCAATATAATCATAGCGCTATGTAACTTTACGGATTCTCAGCAATTTTTTATTTCCTTTCATTCCTTTCATTTAACTGGACCATTTACCACGCTTTCGTTTGCACGGCAGCCCCTACCTATGCCATCGCGGAATGCGTCCTTAGGATTGGACGAAATTGTTGGGATGGTGCACATTTTCGAACTCATTTGAAGTGTGTAATATTCAGTTATCCCTTGTTCTTGCCTCTTGGTAGAAGATTTTCTCTCTCCTTCTCATTCGAAATCAACGTGTGTTGTTTTGTGTATCAGGATAGTCTAATTGGAATTCTGTACTTTTAGGACTTGTTCCGTATTGAATTCTCTTATTCGCTTCAGGGATCGTCCTCAGGATGAACGTGAACGTGTAGTTGGAGAGTTACGGGATGGGACTTTGCATGTACTTGTAGGTACTGATGTTTGCCAACGGTGAGCTCTTCTGCATCCATCTTTATTTCGGATTGGACTTACTAACATCAGAGATCTAAAAATATTTTCAGAGGATTGGATATCAATGGACTTGACCATGTAATCAACTACGACATGCCCAACGGCTCACCGGAGGAGGTTCTTTTGTTTCTTTCATCCAAAATTCTTCTGTCATTGTCAACTCAGCGGATTCAGCGCTAGTGAAATTACTACATTCGAGACCCCATTATCTTATCAAGCACGCTCCAGCTTCAATTCTTGGTTTCCTGGATAATTTGTTCGGCTCTATACAAGTGTGGTGGGCTGACTGCCCTCACCACCCACCTCCTAGATTGGCTACACTCCCCCTGGCTCACGAATTCCCCGATTCTCGTGACAGTATAGTAGCGGGCAGCAGTCCCACTTACATACATTTCTGTTCAAAAAATGCGGCGTGCCCACCCTACTTGTATAGCACCATTTGTTCTTTTGTAATCATTTACAGACTTCTGGCACTCATCCGAACCTTGAAGTGATGGTTGTCCATCACATATGAGTTTACCTGTCTTTTGCTTCTGATGATTTTGGGCTAGAACGTATCGCTTTCAAATATATCCAAATCTGTAGAAAGGTTACGCCCTCGCCACTAAATATTTAACTGTAATTGCGTTTAGTTGTATTGAAACGAATCCTAACAAATTGTGAATTTGCTGAATACCAAGTTGGTCATGATTTTAAGGATGGCAATAAACAAGAGCGGTTAAGCATCGCATTGCGTCCCGTGGGTATTTCTCCTTTTACCTGCTTTTTTAGGTGCGAGACAAATATATCCATCGAATCGGCAGAACTGGTCGTCTTCATGGAGGTGTGGCAACCACTTTTGTTGACTCCCGTACAAATACCGATTCGGATGTACTTAGACTCATTGTTCAGGTAAGTGTATGGCACTGAAAACAAGAATTGGAATATTCGTGGGGTTTGAAGTTGTAGAGGAAAAGGTTGTAGAGGCCAGTTTTGATCCTTGATCATTTTTATGCGGCCCAGGTTCATTTTCCAGTCAAGATCACAATGCTGCCATTTTCCCAAAATAGTCTGGTGGCGCTGAACTGGGTATGGAGTAACAGATAGCTGAGCATCTCAAAATTCGTTACCAAATTTTCTACGCGAGATGAATTTTCTTCCACATGATGGATTTTCGCTTCAACAGTGGTGGATAAAGGCTGGACATTAAAGGCACTAATCGGGATCGAAATAGTGTGTTGTTTTGTCAGGAAATTGGACACGAAGTGCTGCGAGGAACATTATTGGCGAGAAGAGCAAAAAGCGCCATAGAAACCACTTAAATTCCCTTTGCGAGTTTGGCCGAGGTCTGACAGAGAGCTTACCAGGAAAATCTTTGAGGGGGTGTTTTTCAAAACGGTCTTTTTTATGATAACAAAAGTCCTTCATTCTTCGATGATCTCACCATGGCCTGTCCACGATCGGCTCTGCACCCTCTTCAGAGCTCAGGAACTTGGTCTTCTTGACATTCAGCCGAGCCCACCTTCTGCCAGGACTTTCTGCCATTTCTGCACCTTGGCTTGAAGTTCCTCTCTGCTATCAGCTATCAAGGGCGATGTCGTCAGCGTAGAGGATTCAGTGTCCCCTCATGAGCCCCTTCACCAGGACATCTAGTGTTAGGAAATTAGTTTAAGGGTTCAGAGCAGATCCTCGGTGCACCCCCAACCGTAACGCCTGCCTCCTTAGCCCCCTCGTACGTGTCCCTTACCAGAGAGATTAGGTGTTCTGGCACGTTCCGTTCCCTAAGCGCCCTCCATAGCACTGCTCGCGGTAGCCGGTCGAACGCCTTCTCCAGGTCGAGGAAGGCTAGGTAGCAGGGTCGGCGCTTTTCTCGATACTTCTCCATCACTTGCCTGCGATGAAGATGGCAGGATCTTTCGGGCATGAACCCGAACTGTTCCTGGGAGATCGGGACCAGCTCCCGCAGTTTCGAGTCGACCAGGCGCTCGTACAACTTCATGGTATGCGCAGTCAACTTGATCCCGCGGTAGTTGGAGCAGTCCATCGCGTCACCCTTCTGCTTGAAGATGGGGACGATAGTACTTGTTCTCCAGGCATCCGGCATCCTTCCTTCCGCAGTTACCGTTGTTCAGGAAGCTGGTGAGCCATCTTATCCCGTACTCTCCGAGCGCCTTCCATGCCTCGATTGGCACCCCATCTGGACCAACCGCCTTCCCAACCTTCATCTTCCCTAGTTCTCGACTAACCTCATCCTCTGTCCAGAGTGCGATGGGGCCAGCCGTTGCCTCTGCTTGTGAGAGTGTCTTGTGGGGGAACTCCTCGTTCAGAAGTGCACTGTAGTACTCTTCCCACCTCCTCTTGACTTCGGCTGGCTTCCTTCAGATGGTGCCGTTGTTGCTCTTCACACTCTTCACCACCCTGATATCTTGAGTAGCCCGATGCCGGGCTTTGGCCAGTCTGAAGACGAACTTCTCTGCGTTTCTGCTTTCCAACTTCTCGTACAAGGCGCATCTCCGTGTTCTTTGCCTTGGCTACGGCGGCCTTAGCGAGCCTCTTGCAACTCTTGTAGGCAGCGAGGTCCTCGGGGCTCCGGGTCTTCTGCCAGCGCTTGTATGCTTCCTTCTTCTGCTTCACGACTCGCTGGACCTCCTCGTTCCAGAACCACGCTGCCTTGTCTCCTCTGAATCCACCTCGCGTCTCGCCCAGTACCTCCTTGGCACATCGCAGATGGTCTCAGCCGCGTTGCCCCAAGTCCGCTGTACTGGCCCTCAGGATCTGGGAGACCAACTTCCATTATCCTTCGTTTGAGGTCGCTCTTCTCTGCTTGGTGCAACTTCCACCACCGGATTCTCCTCTCGGTTCTTACCCTTGTCTTCTTGGGGAGGTCCATGGCTATGTCTGCCAGGAGGGGCCTGTGCTGGGAGCCAGTCTTCGCCGGGAGTACCTTGATATCCTTCACAGTTTTGAGGGATGATCTTCTTACCAGCACATGGTCGATTTCCGTTTGTCTCCCTCCACTGCTGTAGGTTACCTTCTGAGTCTCCCTTTTCGCGAAGAACGTGCTGCAGATTGCCAGATCGTGGGCGTAGCCAGGTCCAGAACCTCTCTCCCTCGGCGTTCCTCACTCCTATCCCTCTACCTCCGTGCACCCTTTCCAGGCCTCTTCTGTCACTGCCGACGTGACCATTCAGATCACCTGCTATGGTCAGGTAATCGCCTTCCGGAATCGATCTGATGGCATCGTCAAGGCTCAGGTAGAACTCGTCCTTCTCACTTTCGGGGCATCCGGCTTGCGGTGCGTACACGGAGAGTATGGTCCAGTACCCCTCCTTCGTGTCTATCCTCACAGCCATGATCCGATCGCTGATCCTGTTCACAGCGGAGACATAGTCCTTGAGCGACTCCGCTACCGCTATGGCCACGCCGTTCCGCTTGGTGTCTTCTCCATTGTAGTAGAGTTTGACACCTTCCCCGATTTCCCTGGCCTTAGCACCTTTCCATCGCGTCTCCTGAAGGCATAGGACTTGGATATTCCTGCGCGTCATCAGATCAGCAACCTCTCGGGACTTCCCAGTTAGCGATCCTACGTTCAGAGTCCCTATTCGAACTAGCTTCTTTGGCCGAGGCCGTTCACTCCTCGGTAGCCCTCGCATACTGACCACAGAACTCGGGCGGGGGTTCTGCGCGCCACTTCCGGGTGACGTCCTAGCACTGATTCTTTTTCGACTTTAGACATATTTGTTGTGACGGGGGTCTTCATCAGCCGGCCTGTCAACCTGGGCCTGACGCTGGCTGCCAACGGGGGGGGGGGGGTGGGTATCTGAAGTTTATTTCGTATGTTCGGCTCTTATTAGCTTTTTTTCAGGTAGCGAAAGAAACTGACCAGATTATTCCTGACTGGTTGAATCAAATGTGCACTGAGGACAGCTTCACCCGTGCTGGATTTGGTGCCAGCACAAGTTTTGGCTCAAAAGGGTTTGGATCCAATTCCGGATTCGGAGCCGGAGGATTCGGATCTGGAGGTTTTGGTGGAGAAGGATCT